ATATGTCCTTCCTTGGCCAAAATGGCCCTGGGTTATATCTACTGTATTCTTCTCTTCTTAACAGAATATTGTCCAGAAAATAAGCATGCACCTTATTAACTTAATACATTGTTCTGCAAACAGTTTTAAAATAAAGGCAACTCCATTTCTTAGGCGCTTTAAATGAAACCAGGTTATTTGACAAATGATAGTACCCTTTGGGTCAGACGTTATAGATAACCACAGGCAGAGCCAGGTGACACCTTTTGTAGGCTATTGATTAAAATGAGCTGATATCCATCTTTCCCTGCACAGAATAATCCGCTGGCATTACAGAAATGATGGCAATCTTTCAGAGAAGGTTAATCAGATACATGAGAAATTATATCTGCTCCTTGATAAAGTACAAGTCACTCAAAGATCAATCACAGACCTCAGTGGCCCACACTACTGTCCCTCAGGAAGCAGAATTCAGGGCAGGTGGATACTGGTTTGTCAAAAGCCTAGTACAAAGCAAAACACAATGCAGCTTCAACAGTTCTGCCTGCTGAGAACACTGACTTGTGGATTTCATTATGCACGCACAATACTAACAACGTAAAGGTAAGAAGTAAGTATAAAGCTATGATTTATTTTCTCTGAGAAGACAGTGGCTAGTATCTCAGACTTCAGTGCTGCTACAAAGCCACTGCTGGATTTTGGTATATTTTTAGGGATCTAAGTTAAGGCACAAAGTGAGGCACTTTGAGCTATTGTTCTGGGGTGAAAAAAGGTACTGGATGCAATGCAGGCATGCAGTCCAACGAACAAGAACACAGTAAACGTGATTCTCAGTTAAACATCAGGGTTGTTCAGTGATTTACATAGAAAATTCCTTAACAACAGGTAAAACGTCCCATTTACAGAGGAAGAAACATAAACTTCTACAGATTAATTTAGCCCATGTAACAGAGCTTTTAAGAACTTGAGTTGAAAATGAAAATGATCTAGTCAGAGACCACCACAGTGACAAAGGACAAACAAACTCCTGGGTCCTTCAACTGTTATTAAGTAAAAGCATGATTTGTGATTTTTTTCTGAACCATCCAGAGACTTAAGAGAAGGTTTTGCTAAAACAACTCTTTGCTTGGGCCTACAGTGCCCAATAGGTAGCTAAAAGTAGAACAAAGCTTGACAGATTTCATTTTATAAAACTCTAGGTCAAATTT